AGAGAGAGAGAGAGAGAGAGAGAGAGAGAGAGAGAGAGAGAGAGAGAACACGGGCCTGGGCGCCAAGGGCTTGCTGCAGAGAAAGGAAGCTAGCTAAAGACCTGCCCACACCAACCATTTCCTGCTGCCAAACAAGGCTCTTGACCCCAGCATGAGGGCCCTACTGGAGTGAGTCAAGTTATTCTTAAGAAAGAAGGGAGCAGCGTGCTGATTAGATAGGACCTTGGCTGTGAGGAAAACAACCTCAGAATCATTAACCCGGAGTGCTGTGGAGACTGGGGGAGGGCTTCCCTTCCCGCTCCTGCTGGAGCCAAATTAATGGTTTACTCCTCACCAGCTGCCCTTTGATGGAAAGGGGTAGGATTTACGAAGATCACACCACATCTCTTTAATTTGAGGGTTTCTGCACGGGTGAGTGTGAGTCTTTCAGACCAACAAAACAAAACAAAACAACAACAACAAAACCAAACTCACTACAGCATTCACATAGCACTCAGTTAAAACACTCCCTAGCAGTTAGACTCTCTTCCACCCTCCCAACCTCCACTGGCAGGTCAGCAAGCGGGCACTGAGAACCAGGCACTGAGAACATTATTTTAGAGAACTCCTTCTAGGTGCTGGGGGGCCAATGCAGTGTGACTTCAAACCCAGGAAGGTGTCGCAGCTTACCTGACAGATGGGTCTTTGGGGACAGCATCTGTTTGTAGGAGGGTTCTTGAAGTCAGCGTGGGTCTGGAACAGGCCTTTGGGAATCACTTGAAGGGCAATGTCTGATGGGAGTAAGCAAGCTGGCCTGGGATCCTCTAGGAAGCCTGGCTAGAAATGAGGAACCCACTGGAAAGGGACAGAGTACAGAGACAGAGAAGAGATGAAAAAGGACAGTCGTCTACCTGTCTCAGAAGACAGGAAGCCACGGTTTGGAACTCCACTGCAATCGTCTAAAGTCTGTAGAGTGAAAAAAAATGGGGTGTTTCCTCCCTTACGGGGTCTGTCTGTGGAAAGGGCTGCAGGAAGGGAAGATGTGTGTTAGTGTGTAAAACAGCTTAGAGGTAACAACAACAACAACCCATGCAGGTGTTAAAAGGAAGGTGGCGTGCGAGGGGGTGGGGGTGAGGGATTAGGTACAGGGAGGCGTAGGTAATCTATATTCCCTCCAAGAGACTGGAGAGATGGGTGAGAAACTCCTCCAACCTCTAGGAGTGTGGAGTTGCTCAAGAGAGCCCCTTGTGGCCACATGCTGTTACTGCCCCTTGGTGTTTATCCTAGGGGAGCCAGGGTGGATGCTTCTGAGTCACCACACCAGTTTGCCTAATGCTGATTCACTGATACTGAGCCTGTCAATTAAGGGCACCACCTCTGCAGCAGGTGGCGGCCGAGGTAACCCTGTGAAAGCTGGCAAAGAGGATGTCTTTCCATGCAGCCGCAGGGCTCCTGCCCCCTGATGTTGAGATCTAACTCAACAAAACATAGGTGGAGTGGGGTTAGTGTCGGGTTCCCTCTGCAGCCTGGAAGTCATTTGAGAAATGGTTACTGAACACCAATTATAAACAAGATGGGAACCATGAAAACTACCAAATACACACATACACACACAAATACACACAGAGAGATATATACACACATATATACAGAGATATATACACACAGAGAGATACACACACAAATACAAACCAAGATAACTGACTAGACCACTTGTCTGGCATGTGTAAGGCTATTCCCCAGCACGCTCTGCAGAACCACCTCTGGGGACATGCAGACATGCAGATGTATGATGATGGTCATGCGACCCCATTCTTTCTCCTACTGACACCACAGCCCTGGATCACGAACAATTGTTAACAATGATTCAGGAAGAAGCAAACACCTCCTGAGCCCTGGGGTCACAGGCATGTGCTACAAGTGTGTGTCACAGGCATGTGTTACCATGGCTGGTTTATGTGTGCTGTGTCGGACCCAGGGTTTTGCACATGATAGTCAACTGAGTCATATACTCAGCCTCATAAAACTAAAGGTGTGTGTGTGTGTGTGTGTGTGAGTGTGTGTGCACACGCGCATGTGTATGTGCATGTGTAGACTTGTGTGTGAGTGTATGTGTGTGCGCGTGCGTGTGTGTGTATGTGTGCATAGAGGCAAGCGCACCTGTCTGAGTTTATGTGCACCATAAGCATGCAGATAACTGTGGATGTCACAGCGCACAGATGCCCTGGAACTAGAGTTAAAAAGTGGTCACGAGCTGCCCAGCTTGGGTCCTGAAAACTGAACTGGTGTCACACGGGGCATCATTGCTTATGCGCACAATACCTTAACCTATAGAAGAGAGTGGCTTTGTTGTAATTCCTTAGCAGGCAAAATTAAAAGTTGGTTTCCAGGGCCGAAGATAGGGCTCAGGACTGCAGAGCACGGGCTGCTCTTTCAGAGGACCTGGCTTTGATTGCCAGCATCCGCATGATAGCTCATAACCATGTGCCACCCCGCTTCCAGAGGACTCTCTGCAGGAAGTGCATCACATTCAGGAAGAGCACCCATATACATAAAAAATAAAAATCAAACACTTCTCTTTTAGAAAAGTTGGCTTCCATCTGGGTGGAGCAGCTCGCGTTCATGACGCTAGTACTCAGGCGACTGAAGCAGAGGGATCGCTGCAGGATCAGGATCAGTGGGGTGTAAAGAAAGTTCCAGATCCACCAGGATTACACGAAACCCTGTCTTAAAAGTATAACAGAAAAAAAGCTGACTTCCAAATTAATTTGGAAATATCATGCACTTTTTTTTTGAGGCAGGGTTTCTCTGTGTAGCTGTGGGTGACCTGAATCTTGCTCTGTAGAACATGCTAGCCTTGAACTGCTGAGATTAAAGACACGCACCGACATGCCTAGCAGGATCATGGACAACTAACATTGTTTTTGTTACTAATTGAGACAAGAGGGTTTAAAAACAAACAAACAAACAACAAACTTTTCCTGCCATATATCCAGCATCTTTTGTTTTATAAAACAAAAATGCAAACCAAAAAAAAAAAAACCTACTCCCAAATTTTGTGACTTAAAACAGCAATTATCTGTGTGTCCTGGGTTTTTCTGCACCAGGAATTGGGGTGGGACGCAGCTAGACCATGTGCCAAGCAGCAAGGAGGCTCCCAGTAACAGTCCTGAGTGCTCCCTCTGCCTGGCCCTGCTCTAAGGACTGTGGAAAACACTGCTTACGTCCTACTCTCCAGCCCTGAGAAGTAGGCAGTAGCATTCCCATCTGACAGATGAGGAGATGGAGGTTCTGTGAAGTCAGAGCTTACCCAGAGACCACCAGAAAAGGAGCCAGGATTAAATGGCAAAGGGGCTGACACCAGAGCCCACACTCAGGCTCCCACTGTGAGCCGAGTATGTGGAGAGATCTGACTCCATCATGATGAGTGGCCTGCCTACAGTCAGCAGGCAAGAAATTCCATGTCTGAAGAGTCCAGGGTAGATTCACTCACATCCGGGGCCTTGGGGGAAACAGCTACAAAGGGGCTCAGGAAGGCCTGTCTGCGGCCGCCCAGACAGTGGTTAACTTGACTTCCCTGAGAACCTGTTTCAAGGTCGCCGAGAAGCTGTGTGCCTGCGTCTGTGTGACTTCTTCTGAAACACTCTGTCTGGAGAAAGGCTCATTAAGACTTAGGAAGTCGGGCCAGTGAGATGGCTCAGTAGAGGACACTTACGGCCAAGCCTGATGACCTGAGCTCACTCTCCAGAACCCATGAGGTGGAAGGAGAGAACTGACTCCCATGGGTTGTCCCTCTGACCTCTACACATGTGCTAGGGCATGCCCCCTCCCCTAAGTCAATAATGGGGAAAAAAGAAAGGAAAGATGGAAGGGAGGGAGGGAGGGTGGGAGGGAGGGAGGAAAAAGGGAAAAAAAGAAAGAAATTCTCAGGAAGTAAACAAAACTCAAAGACTCAAGAATTACTTGAAGAACCTCGCTATTCGGAAGGCCCCTAACCAGGGTTATGTGGAAACCAGAGCTGGGAAGTGGAGACTCTCAGACCGCACCAGCTGCCTGCTAGTCCTGCAGGGAGCTCGGGGGACACAGCTGTGCCGAGCCCTCAGCTGTGGCCCGTGCTGGAGTGGGCTGTTTAGAGGTACAGCTGCTTTAAGCCACTTGCTTGTCTGTAAGCCGCCCCAATAAGCTCACTTGTTCTCTGAGCTGGGCTTGGGTGAACTAAGTTCCCTGTCAGCGCCCCATCTGGAGTGAGTGGATGTCTGGGCACATTTCCCCAGTAAAGTCGAAACACCAACCAAGCTTCAGTCCCCAGGAACAACTTTCAGCACGTCTTGTGGGCTATGCCGTTCATAAGCGTGTGAAAACCATTGCACAGAGAGCCTGGCCTCTCAACAGATATGACCTGCACTCTGACTTACGGGGAGAGAGACTGACTATACTACTCTTTGTATAGAAATGGACAGGCAACACAGGAAGAGAACACTCTGGATGGCTACATGATGGTTACTCCGGAAAATACCATTTGCCTCATTCCGGGTACCAATCCTCTCGATGACACAGCAACTCTGGCCTGGATGAACCTGAAGGGCCCTGAGGTAATTATGAGGGTTATCCTGAACATCCCCTCTCTTTAACTCGTCTGTCTTTTCTCTTTTCTTACTTTTCTCCCCACCTTTACACCCTCCCTCCACCCCATCTCCACCCACCCCTTCCATATCTTCAAACTCTGGTTCTTAGGAAGTTGAGAAATTAATAGACACCAGGACCACAGCACCTCAGTCCTGGAAAGGTCTTGACTAAGCCCGACGTGCTTTACACAGGGGGAAGCTGCAGAGGGGACTTTCCCGAGGCTCTCCTTTAGTAAGCTTTGGAGTCCTGGCAAGCACAGAAAAGCACAGAGGTACTGGATCTCCAGGAAGGTGCCCAGCTTCCTTTCTGTTTTGACTGCCTGGAACCAAAGTCACTGGTTTCTGTTTTGCATCCGCTACCTTACCATTAAAGGATCCTTAGCTTCTTGGAACCAGAAGCTAAGTCCCAGCCCCAGACTCCAGAGACAGATGGAGGATTGTGGGAGGAGCAAGCGAGGAACAGTTCAAACGCCCGGCTCAGCTATCTCACTCCTGATCCTTAAGTCCGAGGACTTGGATCTATAACACAAAGTAGCACCCCACAAGCCAGTCCTGAAACCTTCAGGTATCTAAGAATGGTGCATTTGGCTGATGATATCTAGCTGAGGGTAAATCCAGGACGATAGAGTTGACAAGGCCTGATTGTATGGCTGAGCCCGAAACAATATCTGTTAGAATAAAGTCCCGTTTCTTGTGATAACACTTCTAAACAGGATGAAGCTAGAGCCTTCAATGGGAACCCAAGCTGGGCCACCTAACGTCTCAGAGCATTGAGCAGTTGAATCTTTTCAGACAGGGTTTCTCTGTGTAGCCCAGGCTATCCTCTGTAGACCAGGCTAGACTTGAACTCAGAGATCTGCCCGCCTCTGCCACGCAAATGTTGGGATTAAAGTTGTTGGGCCACCACATCTGGCTACGTACTTGTTTTTGAAACAGAGTGTCATGAGGTAGACCTGGCAGTCCTAGAACTCACTGAGATCCACTTGCCTGCGCCTCTGGAGTCTAGGAGTAAAGGCATAGGTCAGCAGGCCGGCTCAAGCAGCTGGAGCTTAAGGGAAAGAGCCAGGTGGAGTGGAGGAGTCTGCCTGTCTGAGTAGACAAGCACGGGAGAAGGAACTGCTAAGAAGTCGCTCAGTGTTTTCCTCACCTCCTTGGGTGCAGCTCTGCAACTCAGTAACAAACAGAGGCAGGGAGGAGGAAGCTGCACAGAATAGCCGCAGCCATTGGTTAACTGGTGGATTCGTTACTTTTCTGTGGCTGTGATAAGAAAGCATGAGAGAAAAGACCTTTGGAGCCAACTTCGGCTGACAGTTCCAGTATAACTGGAACTCACTATTGTAAGTAGTACAATAACAACACTCACTGTTGGTCATGCTGTGTTCTTCTGGCAACAGTGAAGTAACTAATACAGAAACTGGTACCAGGGTCAGTGCTGCTCACTTGATACTGATTTTGGAGTCACGCACGTGCACACACACACACACACACACACACACACACACACACACACACGAGGGGGGCGGGGTCATGGACTATGGTTTTAGAGAGACTCCAAGACCAGGAATTGTAGCAGGGAAGTCTCTGCAAGAAATCCCAAGACGGCAAGAGGTCCTGAGAAACCTTTGCATGATGGTGAATGTTGGATTGCGTTGGAGACCTGGAGATGGTGGGGATGCCAGAGTCATGAGAAATTTGCCTAGAATTGCTGCACAAAGGGAGTGGAACCATCCCAGAAGAGAGAGAGAGTCGGAGAGCGAGGGGGTGGGGATGCTACAGGCAGCCATGCAAAGCTGAAATGGCAGGCCCACCTCAGTCATCACTAGGACAGAGTCTAAGTCAAACGATCAAAAAACAGTCTAATGCCTGCTCAGCAAAAGAACATAGAAAGGGCTCTTGGGAAATTGGCAGACCAGACCCTCTCACTTTAATCCTGAACTCCTTAAAAAAATGTCACCTCCTCACTCCCAAGCAGCCATGCCGTGCTTGCCCACCAGCTCGCCTCCATGTACCCAACTCTTGTTCCTCTGTAGCTCTCCAGTGTTTCTCTCTTTCCCTTCCTCTCCCTGTGAGCTGCCTTTCTTCCTCCTTCCACATCGGCCTCCACTCCTGTCCCCAGCTTTCCCTTTCTTCCTCTGACTCTATTCCAGTTTTCTCTTCCCTTGCTCCCTCCAATCCTCTACTCAAATCTGAAGATCTCCCTTTAAGTCCAACTCCTGTCTCACTAAAACTCAACGTCTATGCCCATCACGTGACCCTGATCCTTCTCCTAGGCTCCTCCAGGTCAGGACTGAAGCTTTAAATCCCCTCTGGCTGCCTTCCCAAAGGGTCCAGGAAGAGGATTGATTCACTGATAATGAAAGCTCTTGTTAACAAGGGAAGGCCATGACTACCTTCCTCTGCCACTTTCAAGAGGCAAAAAATCTGGAGCCCATTTACATTGATTCCTTGACTTCCTTAGACATAGAGGCCAAAACTGGGGACATGCTAATTTATGCAAACTGGATGCAAATCAACATGACCCTGGATTTACTGGAAATCACGCTCTTCTGCCAGGAAGTCTTAGGGAAATTTTGGAATCTACTTCCCAAGAGAAATATAAAAATAGAATAGTCTTCAGCTAGGGATGAGGGGTGTGGCTGGAAGTTACTGGAGGAAGGTGCAGAGTGTAGCTTCCCTGTTGGGCTCCAAGCCACCCAACAGCAGGGGAAGTAAAAGTATCAAGTCACCACGCCTCCCTCCCACCTTCTCTCTTTTCTCTGAATTAGGAGTCAGCTCCAAGTCCTGTCAAGAACCATTCACCTCTGAGCCGAGTATCCCTTACCCAGAGTTACTGCTTCTGTGGACACAGGAGCTTTTCATTGAGATCCTGTTTCCATGACAACATTCAGCTACTCTGCTCAGGTTCTAGAGATAGGCTGCCTGCATTAACTTAAGAGACCAGAGCCTAAGGAAGGATCTGGCATGGTCTCTGTCATACAGATATATAGCGTAGAGGTCATTTGAGCCATTAGGGAGTCCCTGGCTATGCAGATAATGCAAGGGTCATTTAGATTACTAGCCTCCTCCGGTCCTGGTTATGGAAGCTTGGTATGGCCCGGCTCCACAGATATTGAAGACCACCAGGCCAATAATCACCTCCAACTCCCAGCTTTCTGGTTGAAAGAACAGGTTTTCCAGTAGCTCAGACACTGAGAGCAACAATTAATAAATGGGACCTCCTGAAACTGAGAAGCTTCTATAAAGCAAAGGACATGGTCAACAAGACAAAATGACAGCCTACAGAAGGGAAAAGATCTTCACCAACCCCACATCAGACAGAGGTCTGATCTCCAAAATATACAAAGGACTCAAGAAATTGGACACCAAAAGATCACATAATACAATAAAAAAAAATGGAGTACAGACCTAAACAGAGAACTCTCAACAGAGGAATCTAAAATGGCTGAAAGACACTTAAGAAAATGCTCAACATCCTTAGTCATCAGAGAAATGCAAATCAAAACAACTCTGAGATTCCATCTTACGCCTGTCAGAATGGCCAAGATCAAAAACACTGATTACAACTTATGCTGGAGAGGATGTGGAGAAAGGAAAACACTCCTCCATTGTTGGGGGGAGTACAAACTGGTACAGCCGCTTTGGATATCAGTATGATGATTTCTCAAAAAATTAGGAAACATCCTACCTCAAAACCCAGCAATACCACTTTTGTGTATATACCCAAAGGATGCTCAATTGTACCACAAGGACATATGCTCAGCTATGTTCATAGCAGCATTATTTGTCATAACCAGAACCTGGAAACAACCTAAATGCCCCTCGACCAAAGAATGGATAAGAAAAATGTGGAACATTTACACAATGGAGTATTACACAGAGGAAAAAAAAATAATGACACCTTGAAATTTGCAGGCAAATGGATGAATCTAGGAAAAAAAACATATTGAGTGAGGTAACCCAGACCCAGAAAGACAAATATAATATGTACTCACCCATAAGTGGCTTTTAGACATAAAACAAAGAAAAACCAGTCTACAATCCACAACCTCAGAGAACCTAGACAACAATGAGGACCCTAAGAGACATACATGGATCTAAACAGGAAGAAGAAAAAGATAAGCTCTCCTGAATAAACTGGGAATGTGGAAACCACAGGAGAGGGTAGAAAGGAAGAGGTGAGGAAGGGAGGAGAGTAGGGGAAAATGTATAGCACAAGAAAAACAAAAAATTTAAAATTAAAAAAAGAGAGAGTAGTTTTTACATCTTTTCCATTGAAAAGACAATTCTGTGTACTTAACAGTCCCAGGTTCAAAGGAGATCTGTGGGTATAAGGACAACTGCGCTCCCAACATGAATCTGTGATCTTCATGACTATGTGTCAGTGGTCACATCTTCCCAGGCAAGGTTGAGGGATAGTGTTGATACATTTTCTCAGCTAGTGGCTGACATAGCACCTGTCTTGCCTGGAACTGAAGCTCCTCTTGACTGTAGATGTAATGTGACCAGCTGCCTCAAGTCCCCACTGCTGTGACTGCCCCACCACGATGGACTGCAACTTCGATCTGAGTCAGAAATAGTTTCTCTCTTAAGTTCCCTTTGCAGGACATTCTGTCACAGCAGCAGGAAGACAGACAAAGACACATCCATTGACGATGACACACGGTACCGACACACTCAACATCAGAGTTCGGTGAGCACATGGATTAACTCCCATGCTGTAACCAACTACTTTGGATTTGTTCTCTCATGCTTTCTCAGGCCTCAAGCCTTTACAGCGGAGCAGGCATGACAGAACAGAATAGCTCCCATCACAGAGGCCACAAATGCTGTAGTGTCAGAAGATCCAGGGCAAGACCCCGCCCCTGCCCCCCAGGATGCTTTCCCACTGATCTGTTTTCTCTAACCAGGAACTTCCGTAGCTCACCACTGTCCAATAGTCTCAAGTTTGACTCCATCCTAACCACTGGAGATGCTCTCAGACACATCTATCTGGGAATGTACTTTACTAATATTGATGTCCCTCAGTTCAATCAAATTGACCACCAAGATTAATCATGACATAAGGCCCCACCCACTTCCTCAGCATCACTCTGGACCACTGCTCCCAGGCTATGGTTTGAAATCTCAGTCCCTCCCTGTGGGCACTATCAAGCAGATGGTAATAAGACAATCATTCCTTGCCTTGGCTCCCATTCCTGTGGTCACCCAGCACCATACACAGGTTTTAGAGGTTCTGACATGTTGGGGACTGCAGACCACCAGACCCTGAATGTCCTGTGAACACCTTGTTTTCCTCTGCTCTGAGCAGCCTGCAGCTGCTGATGGCAGGGGAGTGGGTTCTGATGGTATGCAGCTGAAAGATCCTGAGAGCTGGGGCGTGGCCAGAGCCCCACATAAGCTGCCCCTGAACACAATAAAGGCGGCATTCTTGGGGAATTCAAGGATGGCCCGTGTCTCTGTGTGTCTTTGTATGTTTAAATCTCTAGGCCCTTACCCAAACCGTAGTATCGTAGTACACGTAGTACAGGTGCTAGAGGACCGTAGTACACGTAGTAGCACGGACGCTACACTGACAGTCTTCCACAAAGGCATGAAGGGAAAAGGCCAACTGAAAACTGTGCCTTTCTCTTCCAGGCTCGCTTTGAGGGCTTGTCCAGCATGGGCCGTTCCTCCCGTGTACCCAGGAGAGCAGTAGCAGTTTCCCAAGTGCTCTTGACTGAGACAGGAAGACATTTTCCCCCCCGCAGTCCTCGCGGGACTCGAGCCTCCACCTCCCAGGAGCCGCACCCACACCCGGGAGATTTGGAAGCCCCTCTCTTCGGCGCAACCTCCTCAGGCAATGCTTCCACCTGTGTCTTCTCATTTGATTTACTTTTGTTTTTTAAAAGATACTCAAATTTTCTGGAAGCTGTGGGCAGCCAACCACAGTGGCAAATGAGATGCTTGCATTCCCACGTTCTCTGCCGAGCTCATTGAGACTCCACGGCAAAGCGACAGGAAGCACACTGTCATTGCTTTTAGCTTTTGTCACCAGGTAATTAATCATGGTTACAGATAAATCTGATTGCTGTCTTCCCAAGCAATGCTGCACACACCACAGGTTCTCTCCTCTTAAAACAAAATAAGATTTTTATTCAATTTTGTATTTTATGTACATTGAAGTTTTGTCTGCTTTCATGTTCACGTGAGGGTGTCAGATTCCCTGGAACTGGAGTTACAGACAATTGTGAGCTGCCATGTGGGTGCTGGGAATTGAACCCAGGTCTTCTGGAAGAGCAGCCAGTGCTCTTAACCTCTAAGTCATCTCTCCAGTCCTAAAAAAAAATTTTTTTATTAGGTTTATTATTTATTTAGCAGGGGACAGGGTGAGGGGTGCCTTTGGATGTCAGAGATCAACTTCAGGAGTTGTTTCTCTTTCCCCACCACGTAGGGATGAATCATCAGGACTACAAGCACCTTGATCTCCTGGGCCATTTTCAGCCCCCTTTTACTGTTGGCAGTACTGGGAATTGAATGTAGGGCTTTGCCTGTGCCGGATAAGCTGCCTGCCATGGACCTTTCCTTTTTGAGTCACGGTTTCCCTGAGTTATCCAGGTCTTGAACACGCCTTGTTGCTGGAGTCCTGACCCTCCCGCCTTAGCCTCTGGGAGGCTGTGAGGACAGGCTCCTGCCGTCAGGTCCTGACTCAGCTCAGGCTTTCCCAAGTCCTGCGGATGAGCCCAGCTGCTTGGCTTATCTGTCTGCAGCAACCGGCCACTGCTTCCTGTTGGAGGGGAATCTCCCATTATGTGAGATGTTAGTGGATGGCTCACTGCAGGTCAGCAAGGCCAGGTCCTCCTTCAGTCTGACCCAGTTCCGAGCCCTAGACTGAGCAAGGACCGCATTCGTGCCGGACTTCAATTGTGGAAGTACTGAGCAATGTCCAGAGGCACGAGCATTCTTCCGGATGAGGAAGCTAAGCCTGGCTACAAGGTGTTTATTGGACTTCCTGTCTCTTTCCTGCCGTTTCCTTCAGTCTCACCCTGTTCCTTCCTTTCCGGACACTCCCTGGTAATTGCTACACACACTGGCTTTCTTGTTCTGAAGGCATTTGTGGCCGAGTGGGACTGTGGGTAACCCACCTGCCAGTGGCCCCCTTTTCTTCCCTTGCTAACAGATCCTTAATTTCTCATTCATTCACACACTTTCTCTGTGCATATTGACTGGTGAGTCCCATCCTGTCTCACAATCGCTCCAAGGTCGGAGTTGTGACCTAGCTGTGGTTACAGATATTGGTGGGGAGACTGTTTGAGGCTTCTGGTAAGGCTTTCTTCACAGATTGGGCCCTGTCCCCTTTCTTCTTCAGGGGGAGCCTGCGCCACAGCAGGCATATTGTGTCCAAAAGGAAAGCAGCTCAGCTTTGGAGGAAGTCCTGAAAATGAGTGGACATACCTGGGCCCCAGAACACCGCCCATCCCAGACCCCTCCCTCCGACCTGCGGTTGCTGTGCAAATCACCCCTCACCATCTTCATCTTGTTCATCTTGTCCCACTATTTTGTCATTTGCAGCTGAAACACCCTGATAAACTGATTCCCCAAACTGCAGGGTTTTCACAAATTAACCCACCTTGTAGGTTCTGCAAGAGACCTGGAGGATCCCAGAGACTGGGGCAGAAGCAGAGAGGCCCTGGTCCTCCCGAGTGTTTTTCAGCCAGGCTCACCTCATAGTGAGGGCAGCAGAGAAGGGAAGCTGTGGGTAGAACCTGGATCCTGGCTTCTCAGATTGAGGACCAAAGAACGAAAGGGGGCAGAGAAGCCTCAGCCAGGCTTAGACAGGGCTGTGACCAGAAATGACTTAGCTACCAAGACCAGAAGACAGGCAAGGCGTGTCCCCAGTACCTTCTGTCAGAGCTGCTGGTGTTCTAATCATGTGTACGTGCTAGTACACACATGCCCTGCCACCTGGCTCCCGTCCCAGTCCAGGGGTAATCTTGAACTTCTGATCCTTCTGCCTCCACCTCCTAAGAGCTGAGATTGCAGTTATGAGCCGCCACGATCACTTTACCCATGTAAATCATAAACCCAGGGCTCCATGCATGCTAGGTAAGCACTCTGAGTCCTCAGCCTCCTCCTTAGACTTAAAAAAAGAGAGAGACAAGGTAGCTCTAGTTGGCATTGAGTTTCTATGTGGAGGAGATGGCCTTGAACTCTCGTCTACCACACGTGGCCCCTCTTTACACCTTTTAAAGTGTGTTTTTGTGCTTTTTAAAAGAGGGCTAAATGAGAAGAAGCAGAGGAGATGCTGATGGAATGAGGGTGGTACCAGGAGACAGACGTTCTTTCTCTCTCCTCTTCCCACTCCCTTATAAGTCTACCCTGCTCACTAAGCATGTACTGGAGAGCCAGAGGGCTGTGAGGACAGCTAAGGTCCTTCCAGGAAGAGAAGCAGGCTGGGGGAAAGGGCTCGGAAGAGGGCACCAGGTATGCTGGGTCCATACTGTGTAGGGTCTCACACCAGGTGAAAAGTAAATTATTTTGATAGTAGCCAACAACTAGTCACATGATTCAAAAGCCAGATCTGGCGGTCCCTATGGGGAGAAGAGGGAGGTACTTATATCAGAGACAAATATGATATAATATAAAATATAGACCTGAACATGGGATAGCACGATTTTGGCAGAGGATGAAGTTTGGGGTCATATATGTTTTCTGTTGCCATCTGGTGAGAAGAGGAGCATGGAGGAGCTACAGGAGTAGGAAGAAGCTAAGTAGAGCGAGAAGAGGCAGAGAGGGCAGAGGAACAGGGAAGCCAAGGGCACATTCCAGAAGTCTTTGTTGTCTTTCCAGCCTTACCTGTATCCACCAACCCCCAACTGACCCTGGACTTCTCTACTCTTCAAATCCAACGAAAATCAAACCCAGGGCCTATGAGATGGCTCAGCAGCTAACGGCACTTGCCACCGAGCCTGACAACCCAAGTTCAATCCCCATGTGCCACATGGCTGAAGGAGAGAATCAGTTCCCACATATTGTCCTTTGACAGGGTGCCATGGCATGCTGGCATGTGCGTACGTGCGGGCACACACACGCACGCACGCGCGCACACACACACACACACACACACACACACACACAGATATAAAAAGAAATTCCAACAAGGTGTGGTGTCTTGCCTCTCCAGATGAGCTCTGACGGGTCCCCTCTGATATCCCAGGCTGGCACCTCCTCCTCCAGGTTCAGGCATTTCCCTTGCCAGCCTCGCACACCACCCAAGGAGGCAGAAAGGCTCACACAAGAGCTTTAACTTTCCATGCCCCTCATTCACACCACACATCGCCTGCAGCTACAGCCACACAAGGGAAACGCGGGATTCTTGGCTTGGACACAGGGAAGAATTTCAGGGCCAGTCAGTGTGGCACACAGCTGCAATTAAGAGACACTTTACCACAGATTTCAAGCAGGACAGTTAAGAGCAAGGAGGTTCCGGGAAGAGGGTAAGACACAACCAAGAGCATGGAGTGGTCCCAACTCACGGTCTTCACAGCCACCTACACCCTTCTGATGGGGTTTGAAGCTGTCATCTCCAGAGTTGTTAAAAAGCGTACTGGAGACCACAGGGTGGATCCTGAGGGCAGCAGACAGGTTTGCAGTGGATAAAGTAAAAGGCTAAATCAGAGGGAAGCCACACAGTAGCGTATCCCCCCTCCCCAAACAAAGTCAATGAACCGTTAGAGACTCAAAGAGAATGTCTGGGGCTGGAGAGATGGCTCAGGGGTTAAGAGCACTGACTGCTCTTCCAGAGGACCTGGGTTCAACTCCTAGCAGCCTCATGGCAGTTCACAGCTGTCTATAACTCCTGTACCAGGGGATCTGACACCCTCACACAAGACATACGTGCAGGCAAAACACCAATGTACATAAAATACAAATAAATCATTTTTAAAAAGAAAGAAAATGACCAGGAGAAAGATGAAGCCTTACCTAAGTTCATATACATTCAGGTCTTAAAACTTGCTCAGCGATATTTTAACATAAAATATCCACACATGGAAGGATACTATCTGTGTGTTGGCAGCAACCATCAGAGCAAATGCTCTTAGCTGACCATGCCTGCGATTTGGTTTCTCGGCCAACCAGAGGCTTCAGCCAGGCTCTGGGGTCAGGGACTCCTCCTGCCCACAGCCCAGTAACTTCCCCTGTCTTTTGATGCTGCTTCAAATTAGCTCCAGCCAAGACTGCGCTGTGCCCTAGCGAACCACCCACCTCTGAAGGCCTGGGGACCTGTGTGCATATTTCAGGAGGGTTTCCAGCGCTGACTCCCATGGTCAAGGCAGCTCAGCACAGCACCTGGACAAATGGAATGAGGGCATGCGGGGGCCTCTGGTAAACTGGCCTGATAAATTACATCCTGCAGTCCTCTCTTGACCGAATTGGGTAAGCTGCCCACTCTCTCTCCTCCTTTCCCCTTTGGAGACTTAGATTTGGTTTGGGAGAGGACAATGAGCACTGTTGGAAGATGGAGTGTGTGCTAGGTTCTTTCTTTTCAAAGTTTGGTCCCTGAGTAGATTGCTTCCAACCCCCCGAGGTACAGATTAGTCATCACCTCAACTCCACTACAGACATCCTGATTCAGGAGGAGCCTAGGGGGATTTAATCAGCAACACACAGTCAAACCTCTGTGATAAGAACTTCACCTAAGAAATCTCATGAGCTTGGACTGGTGAGATGGTTCAGGGGTAAAGGCGCCTGCTACCAAGCCAGATGAAGAAAGTTTGGCACCAGGGCTCCCATGGCAGGAGGAGGAGATGGACCCTTGCTAGTTGTCCTCTAACATCCATATATGTTCATCATGGCAAGGATGAGCACATGCGTGTGTGTGCACAATAAAAGTAAATAAATAAAATGTTAAAACAAAAACAGAGGGGAAGAAATCACAAATTCCACAAAGGCCTAAGGAAGTGGGAATTAGTGTCCCAAATTACAGATGAAAACATACGGTGTGGAGAAATCAAAGACTGGTCTGGGAAGGAACCCTGGGGTCTCTGCAACCCCTCACTGCAGCCCTCACTCCTCACGGCCCCCCTCAACCCTCATTGCCGTCACCCCTCACTGCCCTCACCCC